AGATTGAATTATAGGCCTACTTTTATTTCTTTGAGGCATCTCCATATTGTTTTCCATAGAGATTATATTAATTTGCAGTCCCACCAAGGGTATATAAGCATCCTTTTCTCTGTGTATCTACACCAGTATCTGTTGTTTTTGGACTTTTTAACAAAAGGCACTTTAACAGTTATAAAGTGATGACTTGTGGTTTTAATTTACCTTTCAGTCATGATTAGTGACATTGAGCATCTTATCATATGTTTATTGACCATTTGTCTATCTTCTTGTGAAAAGCTTCTGTTCATGTCTTTTGAATGGGATTGTTGGTTTCTTCCCTGCTTATTTGCTTGAGTTCTTTGTAGATTCCAATTATTAGCCCTTTATTGGATGTACAGCTTGTGAATTTTTTCTCCTATTCTGTAGGCTGGCTATTTGCTTTGTCAATTGTTTCCTTAGCTGTGCAGAAAGTTTTTTAATTTAATCGAATTCCTTCTATTTTTGGTTGTTGCTGTGATTGTCCTTGGGGACTTCTTCACAGATTCTTTGCCTAGTATGATATCTAGAAGACTTTTTCCTACACTTTCTTCTAGAATTCTTATGGTTTCATAAGAAATTTCAGTCCTTTAAGTCTTGGCAATAATGAATAATAGATGCAATATTTTATAGCATCCACCTTTTTCTTCCTGAATAAATGTCAAATTTTTGATTTAATGTAGAAAATTCTCAATAAATAAGAATTAGCAATCAACTAATCTACTTGCGAAATATTCTGACTTTTAAATTGGAAGTATTTATTCATTTTCAATCCAAAACAATTATATAGGAATTAAAACAGATTTTAATGGATGATTTATATTTGTTACTTCTTTATATTGTTCTTATCTAAATAATTTTAATCAGTACATTCTTGTTCATAACAAATTAAAGACTAAGTTTGCAATAATACTGTGATGTAGATAGTATTACCTTATTTTACAGATAAGAAAACAAGTTTGCAAAACTAAATAAATTGCCCAGGATAGCACAGTAAATAGAAGGAGGTAACAATGGGATTTGAACTCCGTCTGATCAAAGCTGATATTCTAATAGATGGGAACTTGAAAATAGCCAGTAATTAATGGGTGAGTGACAGGGATATGATAGAGATAGTGTACTTGGCCAAGGCAATGAGGAGACCAAAAGTAGCCAATATTGGAAATTTATGTATCTTGGACAAGCTTTGGATAAGCCATCAACATTTATTCATTCATTAACTCAAGAAGGGTACTCCATAGTGAGCTGTACTATCTGTGCCTCAATATTCTGCTCTGCTAAAAGAGTATAATGCGAGTATGAAATGAAAGGCATATAACACTTAAAATAGTGTTTACCCCATAGTGTGAACTCAATAAGTATTAGCTAGTCTGCAAATATCTAATCAACCTAGTCTGCCAAGTTGTATTAAGGGCCTTGTATGTATATATAACTCAACAAGATTTCCACGATGAGATGGGTTAGAGACACTGACAATGAATGTGGTTTGATTCTTTATGATCTATGAGGGAAACAGGCATCACACACCTGAATTCATGTGCAGCAGTTCCTAGGCACTAAAGGAGAGCAATAACTATTCCTGTTATGTAAAGTCAGTGCTCACTGGGAGAGATGAGCATGAACAAGGCAAGTTGATATCAATGTTGCAGACACAAAAGGTGAAACAAAGATGGAGTCTCTGAGGATAGATAAGCTCTGGAGAATTAGGCAGAATCCTGGTGAGCAGAAACCAGCACAAAGTCAAGGTCATATGGCAGCAGGGTACTGGGGTGAGGACCCCCAGAAAGTATGACTGGAGAGCTTCAAGGGAGGAAGGTTGCAGCACCCAAGAACCAAGCGGGGCACAAGACCTTCCCCCAGGCCAGAATTCACAGTTCCTGAGACTTGGACCCTGGGGCTCACTCCAATTAATCTCCTAAACTGGGTCATCTCCCTGGGTTTCACAGCAAGCAGGAACCTGGCAGCCAAGGCCGGGTAAACACTGGCATCAATGAGCAAAAGCACTGGATAGAATCTGATTTCTTTCAAGTCTTAAGAACAATCAGATTCCCTTGGGCACTGCTTTAAAATCTGTTACCATCCTCAGGTAACTTTACAAAGCAGAGCCATGAAAGAGTTTGTTAAAGGGGCCTCAGCCATTTCCCAGACGTCTAGAGAGATGAAGATGAGGAAAAGGTGTACTACATTGTCACTGGAAAGGCCACCACACCTGCTCTTGCTGTTTGGTGATAAGCTTTTCTGGTCAGTGAACCTCAGAAGGCCATGACTGTTAAGAAATGCATGCTTCATAGGAGTTTCAGAAACTCTTCCTGAACTTGTTCATGACTAGGAAAAAGAGAAAGACCCCCAGGGCAGTGCTCCCACTCATACCATGACACAGGAGTGGCACATATAGAGCTGCCCTTGAGCTGTGGTAACCATGGGAAGTTATCCAATCTCCACCCTCCACCCTTGCACCCCAGAAGGCTCTGCAAGGACGCTAGGAAAGCATGTGGACTTTGTCCTCAACAAATGGTAGGGGAGCCACATCCTGAAGTTGCTTAGCGTGCTTGTAGGACTCAAAATATAGATTGATAGAGCTTCCTAGTACTTTGTTTTGCCAAGAAGTTGAAACATTTTAGAAACCTCTGATCTTTCATTTGAAAGTAATTATTAACTCTTTTGGGTCATAAAAATACTGCTCTAAAAACCAGGTAATGCAGGAAATGGATCCTAGTGATATGAAAGTGTTTACTTCTCCCGACACATCAGGAAAAAACAGTAGGATCAGACTCCATGGGTCATTAATCCTCACATTTGCTCTCTAACCTGACTTCATGGCATATACACATATTGGCACCATGTTACTTACAAAGAAATGAAGCATGACAAGATTAAGTTGCATGATAAATATCACCCTGGGTGAGCAGAGTGGCTGAGAGAAAAGCTCACAAGAGGGGCTCGCCACCAAGAATCCAATGCCCTTTTGCATTCTTTGGCTGCAACTAACTCTTCCTCGCGCTCCAGCCTCTGGGTCACCAAACCAGCTTTCTTCCTTTTCATATCACCGAGCCAGTTGTCCATCTCTTTACGTGCAATGTAGGTCATCCCCCCTCTCCCCCAAAATGGGTTGATTTGAATGCAATAGCATAATCCTTTCTCCTCTCAATCTGCTCCTCCTTGTAATGGAAGGGTTTGTAAGCAGGTATGAAGAACACAAATTCTCACATCTAGATTACTTTCTTTGTCTTATATATATTAAGTGTAGATACAATAAAGATGGATGGGAATGGAACTAACCAAGTTGTAAGCAGTAAAAGAAAAAAAAAAAAGAGCCAAAGCAGCACATCCTTAGTCTCCCTAAGAACAAAGGAAATGAGTGGTGAGATCACGTTATCGGGAAGAGAGTCCAATCTGCTACCAAAGGTCCTCGTAAGCCCAAGGGAGACGGATGGAGAGATGCATTGTGCAAAGGGCCATTTTTATATTCACGGTGGGGTGATTCTTCCTTACTATGAGATATTTCAGGCATAGAAAAAAGTTCAGAGAATAATTTAAGGGACAAATCATTATAGAAAAAGCTGATAACCCCTGTGTACTCTCTAACTTTTCATTTCTCAGTATCTTTTCCCCCTACTCTGAATTTTATGCTTTATTATTCATTGTATACTTTTTGGCTATTAGAATAAATTAATGTGTTCATAAATAATAGGTACTATTTTTAGATATTTTCAACTTTGTGGAAAATAGGGACCTTTCTTGGCTTCATATTACACTTTTGTATGATTTAAACATTTTATATATATTTCATATGATTTGAGCATTCTATGATTTTAATATATATTTTATATACACATATTATATATATGTTTTACAATACATGGAGCTCTAGTTCATTTTAGTATTGTAGTATTCCTGTTCTGAATTCCTGTTCTGCATTCTCTTTATCTATCTTGTGCTAGGACATTGAACTTGTTTGTAAAAATTTCTGTAGTTATTAGTTCAGATGATGACTTGCTGTCATAGGGTATGAATGTTTCAACTTTGCTAGATTTTGCAAATTTTTTTCCAAAGTAACTGCATCACTTTATACTCCAAACCACAATGTGTGTGTGTATGTACTTTTCTACAATTTCTTCAAAATACTCATTATGGCCCCTAAATGTTGTTAAATTAATGAGTTCAAAATAAAACTCATTTTATCCTGAATTTGCTTGTTCTGATTATAGATGTGGTTGAATATATTTTTTGTGCTTACTGACCATTCAGATTTCCTCTTCTATGAATAGTTTGCTTGTGTCCTTTATTCATTTTTCTATTGGGCTATTTATTATATTCTTATTGATTTGGGGGATTTATTTGTATATTCAGGTACTAACTTTTTGTCAGTCACAGTCATAATATGAATGTGCCCTATTCATAAATAACTAATTGTATCTCTGGAGTTTGCCTTGCACAAAAGTTTTAACAGGCCAAGTTAAAACTAAGATATAAATAGGGGAGTTGATATTCCATGAGGCTGTGGGTTAAGGAAAAGTATTTTGAATGCCAGTTTTTCATCATTCCTCCCAAGTTCAAGGAACTAAAGTATAGGCCACCTAGCTTTGTGCTTGATAAAACCAGTGCTTGGTGGCAAAGTGGGTAGTTGAGAATAATACAGGGGCTGAAAAAGGACCAAATTTGAGAGTAATTAACTTCAGATTATTGGGCCTAAAATAGAAACTATATTTTCCACTGAAGTGGAAACATTTAGAAACCAAGTTCATTTCTAGCCTTGACATCTCACAAGAACATACAGAATCAGCTATAGGTACCAGGACTGGTGTACTGGCATGCAGGAAAGCTCTATCTCAACTTACCCCACAAATATTTTACTGCCAGGAAAGTCTCCTGCTTATGATATAAGTCTCCAGACTCAGGTTCCCAATGAAAACAAGAGGACTAGCATAATGTCATAATAATGTCAGGTTGCCTTGGGAATCCAGATGTGAAATCTTGAAGTAACTATGGCTATCTTTCTATTTCAGAGGTGTGGCGAAATCTTGTTTGAGAACTCTGATCAGAATGCCAAATGTGTTTGCATGCTAGGTAAGAAAGCTTCTCCTTTTAAACATATTAAGCATGTTGACGTCATGTGGAGTTACTGCTGTTCAATTTCTTCACTGATTATCTTTTGTTCCATTTTGAGGAGGCTTACAGGCTCTTCTGGGTTTATAGACAGCTATAACACATTTGCATGCGGAACACTTGATCATGATAAAAGGTTTTGATTTTAATAATTGTCTATAAGTCAGAAGCTGTGATTCTGAGTCTTCCAAAATTTTTCTTGAGTCATCACCCTAATATAGAATCGAGTGATTTGTATTTAGACAACTGTGATGAAAAGGTAAGCATGCTTACACTGGAATTCCTAAACCAGAGAGGAGAAGATAGACAAGTAAATGATTAAGTATTTACTTCTGGTCACAAAGCGCTTACTTATATAATGCCTGGGAGAAATGTATTTATTAACTGCAGTATTCTAAAGTCAGCACAGTAACTAACCACTTTGCATTTATAATGAATGAAATAGCAACATTGTAATAAATAATAATTTTTCTTATGGAATGATATATTATTAATGTCTTTCAAAAACTCCACTAGGTAGTGAAGTTGGTATTATTTTCCTCATTTTATATGTTACAAACAACATAGAGAATATAAGTAATGCGCTTAACCACAAAGAGAGAAATGGTCCAGGTCATGGTATGAAAGTCTCTAAACTGTAGAAATTCTAGGTCTAGTATTGAGATCATATCTAAGCCGCTACGCTATGTCCAATGAACTGTCAATTAATCATAGTAATAGAACAAACAGCAGCATGAATAAACAAAAGTAAACCTTAAATTTTATTTTCATCAAAAAATTTGACCCTTGTCAATTCTAACCTTGAACCATATTCATAAACAAAGAATAGAATGATTCATTTTAGCTTCTTTCATCTCCTCTGACCACCTCCACTGGCAACGTAGATTGTTGGTGAGATGATCCAAAAGCAGACAGCAAGATAAATAGAGGCAGGGAAAGATCTTGGTAAGTTATAATTTAAGATAATCACGTAACAAATAATGAAAGGGTTGCTCATGATTTAAAAACAAACAAACAAGGGCGGCGCCTGTGGCTGAAAGGAGTAGGGTGCCAGCCCCATATACCAGAGGTGGTGGGTTCAAACCTGGCCCTGGCCAAAAACTGCAAAAAAAAAAAACAGACACTGTATTTTCCTAGGCTCCGGTTCTTTCTTATTTTCTTTACTATTTTCTAAACTTCTCTTGCAGTTCTCATATCTTTTTACTTTAATTAAGGTGGGGGCTATACAATAAAACATATTGGAAAATGAACATTTTACTGGATCCTTATGAGTAATGAATGTAGCAAAGCACCATACACTCACTTCAAATACTTGATATTTCTTCCTTCCTTTCCCTTAACCATGAAAATGCTTTTAAAATGCTAATATTTCAGGATACTAGATAGATAGATAGATAATATGAAGGGAGGGAGGGAGGAAGATAAAAATGGAAGCTAAAAATAACTACTTTGTCAAACTATATATCCCAACCTTGGATTTAAGAACTATCTCACCAGCATGTCAAACGTATTCAATTAACTCATCTAATTTTCACAATAATAAAATATGATTGGTGCTATTGTTACACTCATTTTACAAATAAAAAAATTGAGGCAAGTGTCCTGATACTATGGGTAACTTAATATCACTAAAATATTATTTGATTGTAGCTATCCTGATCTGGTAATTTGAATCCATTTTTAATTCATGATGTTATTAAGAACATCATTGGTGTTGACTGAATTTTCCTGTGTCCTGACACCCTTGAAGTTGCTTGATTAGTTTATAGCTAGAAAGGCAACCATAGCCTGTATGTTTACTACTGCACAAAGATTTGACTTCTCTTAAAATAAGGTCAATCATCTTTCTATCTCTTCTACATTATATGGTATGGTTTATATAGCTGCTGGGAGGCTTTCCTGACCACCAAATATGTCCCTAATGAATCTGTCAGATTGAACAAAATTCTAAATTTAGAAATAGATTTATATGAATCAGTTTTATATTGCTACTACTGTTAATAATAATTACAATTAACTGAGCACTTAATATGTGTCAGATGAAATCTATCCTAAGCACCTTACATGATTAGATCATTTATTCTAAGTAAATTAAAAGATTCCCTTCCTTTCAAAATACAGATATCCTTGTCAATAGCAAGGTATTAATTAAGCCATGATTAGTTATTAACCTTGTTGTTTTCATAAGTTCATTAAATTCTCATCTTCTTAGTGATACAGAACTAAATAATACATAAAGAAACCATGAGAATGAACGTTTTTATTAGTTTGAGGACATATACGAATAATGAATGTACATTTTGCTTTAAATGCATAGTAAAAATAATTATTGGGTGTTCAAAGACAACTGCCTAGTGAGCTTGAGTTATTCCTAGAGTGAAAATTGTATTCTCCAGGAGCTTACTTCTAAGAAGGCTTAGATTTTTTTCCTACTTATCTTTCTAAGAGGATTGCTGCAATTTTTAATCCAAACATTTATGAAGTCTTTTAAAATCTTAGAAGAGCACCAAAATAAAATTATTATGGATATCAATGCACATGGATCAACCTGCTATTAGCAAGCATCCACTGGGTGCCCAAGGGCTGCTATTTCATAGCAATATGGTGCAAGATGATAAGAAGGAACGTTGAATAGTTACTCACTTAAGTGAGAGAAATGCATCATGAATATATCATTCACTAAAACAGACCCCATCTTTATTTTTATCCATATTAACACAGCAAAAAAACTCCCCTTCACCGTTGTCTGGGGTATTAGTTGGTTGCTTCCTTTAAGAGGAACCTAAGACCAAGTCCTTATGGTTTCCTCAAGTATTTTTTGAGAAAACTTTATGCCTCCAACAGCAAAAGATAAAGAGTATCTGATATTTTAAAGGATCGTTACATTTTACAAGTGCTACTAACCATGAGTGTAGTTTGTACTGTTAACCTCCAGACTCAATTCAAGGACCACTCTGAGAGTCCCAACATCGCTGCAAAGGCACGAGGAATTTTTTATTCATTCAAGCTCAGAGCCTGGGCTGACCTTTAAGAGAAAGTGGGAACAGCCCTTATAGACTATTCAAACAATTCCTTTATACCTTTCCCTCTTCCCTCCCCTGAGACCATCCCACCCCATTCCCTTATTGGTAGGTAAACCATGTCTGTCCTAAACTGACAGGTATAGGGTGGGCGTGTCTAGGGTTGATTGGCTTAGGGAGAGTCTTCTTTGTCTCAGGTGAGCGAATAAGAGGAAAGGGCTAGGGGTCGCAAGTGGCACGAGTGCAGAGTAGAGTGAGGAGTGCAAAAAGGGGCGGGGGTCAGGATGTGGGCGGGAAGCACAAGGGGGCTAGAAGGAAGAAGGGGCAGAGGTCAGGATGTGGACTGTAACACCTAGGTATGATGAGGTCCCTGGTATGAGGCAGCTCATTGTTCTGAATAAACAGCAAAAAAAAAAAAAAGAGGTAGTTTGACTTGTGACCTGAGTTAATTAGTTCGGCTCCCACAGTACATTTGCAGGTAATTTTATAACATTTTAAAGAATAAATCAAAACTTCCAAACCAGAAAACCAAATATATAAAGCCTGCACATCCAAAACTTCACAACCGGCCTTCCTGTCACCCCACCATTGAGATCCCCAGTAGGAGCCATCCTGAGACAGCCTCATCTCTGAATTGTCAAGCTCTTGGCTCTCTCCCCATGAGATCCTTCTCTCTGCCCAATAACAAAACAGGTCTGGGTGGCTGCCTGGATCCTAGTTGTGCTCCGGTTCCAGCACAGTTGAGATGGAATATGGAAAAGGTTCATTAGCCAGAGATTCCATTTGCAGTTCCCTTCTCTTCCATGAGTGAGTCCCCAGATCATTCTGAAAAATACTGAATTTGTGCTTTGAGTGTCTCTCTCACGACTTCCATGAATAAGCCATCCTCACTGAAAATCACACTTCTGACTCACTCCATTAAATGAGACATACGCGGAAAATTCACCTTGAGTTACTCTGAACACTGGATTCGATGCAGTTTTAAGTGGAGCAAATTACTATCGTAGATGGGTCTTGCAGGGAATCATTTCTAGCTTCAGGAGAATAGTTCATGATGAATATAACAGTAAATAAGGGTGTGCTGCTGACATCCAGATAAACTGAGGGCTAACTATAAATACTTGCTCCTTACAATTGTTTAGACAGGCAAATGCAGATGACCAACTTAAGCATCCAATTGTCATACGTCTTGCTTTCTTCTTTCCTTCAGGCGTAGGGCAATGTGTTTAGAAGCCCCTCCTATTACCTGTCCTCCCCCCACCTTTCTTAAAATTTAGCCATAATGTTTCTCTCAAGTTCAAATTGGCCTCAGAAGTTTATATGGTCATATCAAAGGATGTGCAACTGTATAGCAAGACGCGTACCTTACTTAGGTGTAATGCAATGGTACTAAATGAAAAAGGAATTGGAAGAGAAATGATTCCTCCTTGTATAATTACTTTTCAAAAGCATAATGAAACTGTTGGGTAAAAAGAGCCAGGAGTATTTAAAGACATTATGTAAAATGACGAACATTGATTCACTTCTCAGTTCATTTGATAACTTTGTTTTGTAAAATGGGAAATCGTGGGAAAACTTTCAGAAATGAATTCCAGATCAGATGTGGTGCTTTTCCTTTCTCTTTGCCTTTATTCTTAAAGTGGGATTCCCTCAAATGGTAAATCCTAATTTCTAATTTATAATATTTCGTGGCTTAGAAGGGAGTGTTCACATTAGTCCATTTTCTGGTTGAAGTTTATTATAAATTATTTAAATGGGTTACTCATCTTCAGATTCACAGAATACCATAAAATCAATATTTTATGAACATTCAACATAAACACAGAGCGACGTGCTTTGTAGTCCTAATTCTGAAACATTCACTCTGTACTCTCAGAAGTTGCTTCATCTTTTTAGGATTCAATTTATGGTTTTCCTGCGAAGTAGAAATAGAAACATCTG